TTCCGTCGAGAAGCCCGCGAATGAACAGAATCAGCAGGCGGCATAGGTGTTGTACCTACAGATGGCGCTGACAGTTGATCACTTCTTCGTAGGGTTTCGATTTCGTAGGTTTCCACGTGCATATCCGGCCGAGAAACGTGTCCTGCGTGTGCATTCGGGGGCTTGGCTTGGCCTCTTTGTCCCGGAGAGTGAATGACAACATGTTCGACCTGAAGCTGTTCATGCTGTGCGAGAGATGGCGCCGCCTGAAGCTTTCGGCTGGTCAGTCGCCTGCCCGCTGGCTCTGGTCCGCTGGCTGATCCATGGAATTCCATGTCAACATGACGCTGAGTCTGCCCTTCATCCTGTACTTCCTTCGACTTTTCTTTCTCGTGCGAATATGCCTGCAGGGATTGAATGAGCCCCTGGAAGTTCTCAACTAACTTGTCGAGCTCGGACTTGCTCTGCGTGCTTTCTTGGGTTGGAGTTGGCGGGCTTGTTGAATCAAGTCGTAATTCTCCGCTGGTGTCACGGCGTTCTGAGCTGGTGCTAGGTGGTAGGGTCTCCAAAACTTTGTCCTTAGCAGTAGGAGGATGGGTGACACTAGTGAAAATGCTCTCTGGGATGAACTGGTAGCGCGCCGATCTCGACGTCGGATGATGGAGGCTCAGTTGGGACGCGACATGATGGATATTAGGGTGCACAGTAGTGCCATTTAACCAACTCAACGTTGGCGCGTCTGAGGGAGTCTCAATGCTGTGGTAGCTTGTAGGCTCCAAAGAGCTGTATTTGGGATGAGTCGAAGGAGGTGTGATCGAGAAGTCTTCAGTGGAAAAGGGAAAAGCTGTCACAGTCTGGGGACCATTTAGCCCTTCCTGGAGTTTTTGAGGTTTTTGGAGGTTCTGGGAGGTCGCACGATAGCGGGGCATTTCCTCCATAAAGTGGTTAGGATTAGCAGTGGCCTTTGTATTTTGATGCAGGTTACCCGCATAACTCGAAACTGTAAACATAGGAATATTCTGCTGTTCGCGCGAGGACCCTGTGGAGCTCTCTTGGGATGTTATCGTTTTTAAAAGACTGTAGTAATGATTATTGGGCGGGGTGCTTTGTTGCTCGCGGCTGCCAGTAAATGTGACAGGAATTTCTAAAGGTGCAGGGGGTAAATGTTCTTTCCTTTGATTACTTTTTGTATTTTCTGGATTGTTTTCAGTCGTAATATGAAGTGGGGGCCGCGGCGCATTTGTGTAAAAGAGGGCGGCTGTTTTGTGATGTCTCGAACTCTTTTCTAACGAAGCCATTGTCGGCGTAGTTCTGTCATAATGTTTATAAGGATCAAAGCTGTTGCTTGTTTGGCCTGGAGAGCTGAGAGCAGCTGAAGATCCGAGAACATGCCCAAGAGATACATCCTGCACTGTTACATCCTTAAAGCCAAGATCAGTACTAAAGGTTTCGGGCGCAATAGGTGCTTGTGGACGGCCAGTGATTGTAACAGCATACTCGGACCTTGTTGGCTGACCAGATGTCTTGGGCTCGCTGGTAACGAGGCGAGTATTAGGAAACTCGGACGAGGTATCTAAATACATTGCTGTTCCTGTAGTGTCGTGAGGGCGGAAAGACGTGTGTGTGAGGCTGACGTCTTCTGTGTACCTCGTGGTTGTGTCTGTTGATTTATATGAGCTGGGATCACGGATATTTCCAGTGGTTAGATGGGTTTGCGTTGTTTGGGGACCCTCCGGAGCGCTGTGCACATTCGTTGAGTGTTCAGGAACGTTTGTAAATTGTGGAGGTGGATTTGAAAGGGGACCTTTAGACGTGTATTGTGTAGTCAAGGGTGTCGGTGCGTCTGAGAAGCGAATGTTACCAAAGTGTTCTGTCGAAGGTTTTGTTTGGCTGAGGTCGTCGTCGTCAGTGTATTCGGAAGTTGACTGTGTTGGCTTGTCAGACAAGCGAGCACTATTTGTATACCTAATATACGGATCTGTTTGCGCGCTTGGTGACTGTGTCGGCCTGTTAGAAAAGCGAGCGCTATTAGTGTATCTAATGTTCGGATCTGTCTGTGTGTTTGGCGATAGTGTCGGCCTGCCAGAAATGTGAGCACTATTTGTATATCTAATATTTGGATCCGTTTTTGTATTTGGTGACTGTGTCGGCCTGTCAGAAGAATGAGCACCATTAGTATACCTATTCAGATCTGTCTGTGTATTTGGTGACTGCGTCGGCCTCTCAGAAAAGCGAGCACCATTAGTATACCTAATATTCGGATCTGGCTGCGTATTTAGTGACGGTGTCGGCCTCTCAGAAAAACGAGCACCATTAGTATATCTAGTTTTCGAATCTGCCTCTGTATCTGTTGGTTGTATAGGCCTGTCAGAGAAGCGAGCGTTATTTGTATATCTAGTATTCGGATCTGACTGTGTGCTTGGTACGCTCTCACCATTAGTGTATCTAAAAGGTGAATGAACCGGTGTGTTAGATTGTAGATTAATGCTCGTAAACTGGGAATACGGGGACGTTTCTGTTAGCCGACCGTTTGTTACATCGCTGGTAGTCGAATACCCTGCTGCTTCTCCGGAAGCAGTCTTTTTTCTTTCGTGCGTCCTAACATCTTGAGTGGTAAAAAACGACGTAGTCGTGTAGTCTCTTGGTAGCGCAGACGATACTGATGATGTATGACGTGACGGCGTACTGGTAGTTGTCCTGCCGCGGTCTAGTGCGTAGGTCGTTGTCTTTCCATCAGAAATTACATCGTAAAGGGTTGAATGCGGATTGGTATTTCTAACTCTCTCTCGACTTGTGTATTTCTGAGTATGGCCAGTCGTTGTTCGTCCCGTGGGTACGCCTGAATCACTCGAGGTCTCTATTGATGACGTTTCTACTCGCAGTCGGCCTCCCTGGTGTGGTGCTGTTGTCGTCGAGTGTCTCTCCTCTGACACTGAAGGAATATTAAGAGGAATTGCCGTATATTTATCATTTTCATCTGGGTCTTGCGTATAATGTTGTCTGGATGCATCGTTCGTCTTTTCTAAGGGAGTGCTTTGCTCTCTTATGCTAGGGGGCGGGAGTTCTTGGCTGGCTTCAGGACGTTGGCGTGCGGGGGTTACAGTCCTTGTTCTGGGCTCATAGATAGTATAATACAAGGTGGTTCGATCGTCGTGATTGGCTTGCTGCTTTGTTGGTCGTGTAGGTGCCGAGGAAGTTGGCCTAAATGTTGGGATAAAACTAGGTTCAGTATCTGCAAGAACTTTACCTGACTTTTCGGGGCTACCTAGATAGCGTTCTGTTTTTCCTGTCTCATCACTGGGTGTGTTTGAAATAGCCTCGGGTACGTCGCTTTCTGTTTTAGGCTGATTGGCATTAGTTGGAACATCTGAGAACGTGTTTTGCGTTATTATCTGAGCTGGAGTCGAGGAAAAATCCGTGCTTGCCTGCTTGTTTGATCCTGTGGTTCTATCCGTCTCGACAAAGCCAGTTGTTTCCAAAGGTGTGCGTTCCGGCGATACTGGGGGAACTCGGGTATGTGTTAGCGTATATGTTGGTATAGGCAATGAAAACGTCGGGGGTACATATGGGTGTTGAGTAGTTTTTGGCGGCGAATGTGTTTGTGGGTTGGTGTATTGAGGTGTTATCGATTCATTCAAGGCCACATTTCCGGAGAACTCGCCTGACTGAGAGAAACCTTTGTTTACGTTATCTGTCTCTTGTTCACTGTTAGTGGACGTTTTTTGATTCTCTGTAGTGAGTGATGAACTATGTCCCTGTGAATTTGGCGTCTGACCTGTCGCTTCTAATGTGTAAAATTGGGGTGTCTGTGGTTTATGTAGTACTGTTACTGGTTGCTGTGGTGTAGCAGTAGTCCTGTGGTGGTTCGTTTGCCTATGCAGCGCTGAGGGATTTGTGGAGGGGGTTTTTGCGCCAGGTGTGGGGTGTGAAATGGTTATGTCATCTGGTGTGCTATAGACTAGGGTTTCTGCGTTAGGGCTTTCCGAACCCTCTCCCGCGTCTGTCGTCACTCCCGGAGACGTACTTTGATCCCTCGTTCGACCAATGGAAGTTGCACGATTTTCGTTCGACATTTGTTTCCTGACCTTCTCCAGCATGACTGTCCCATGAATCTTGAACATTTCGTCCGGCCGGTGGATTGGCGGGTCGTCCCTGTATATCTTCGTTGCCCCCGGTACATTATGTATTGGAGTAAGTGTTAATCCCCCTTGCTCCATGGACGAACGAAACGCTCCGCTGTTTGTGAAGCCTGACGTTGCTCGAGAGAATGTTGGCGTGAAGGCTGCTATTTTGGGCCTCGGCAGTTGTTCCTTGGCTCTGTGTATTGTGGCTCCACGTCTAGGAGCTGCAGTTGTGCCGTGTGTCGCTGTGGCTGGAGATGACCCAAATGGTTGTATCGGTCGGTAAGTTATTGTGCCCGGATATTGGGTCGTAGTCCTCGCCGAAGTCTGTACTGGAATCGTAGTTTTCTTCTCATGATGTTGTTCTTTCTCAGTGAAGGGTGCCGTGCCGTAATCTGACTCTGTGGCTATTGACTTTGTATATGCTGGAGTAAGGGATTTAGGAGAATATCTAGGCGTACTGTGTACAAGTGGCGTCCGCGGATGGTACGTCGCTGTGGGTGACTCGTGCTCGGCGGTAGTTGCTGGATCTTGATTAGTTTGGTCTTGGGGACTTGCAAACGCCGGTGAGCTTCCCCTTATTTCGTGCATAAGGCCTACTGCGTCGGTTTTCGCTGACTGTGATGGACCATATGAGATCGGCGCTGTATATGGGTTGGGTGCAACGGTGACTTGCGTGTCTTGCTTGATATTTTGAAACAGTGGCGTGCTGTGTTGCAGTCCTGTAGTTTCTGGAGCAGCGGACTCGTGTCTGGATATTTTCGTCGTATACGGGAGGGTGCCTTTCCTGTTGCCGTGCGTAGTTTTGTAACTGGGAACGGATGGTCTCGTTCTTTCGCGACTAAACGTCGTATCTGAAGGAGGGTCCGAGGGAGTATTGGTTTCTGCGTTTCCTCTTACCTCTGGTAAAGTAGGTAGTGTACCTGTGAATGCAGGGGATCCAGGCCTAGCTCCATTATGCGTTATAAAGAACCTGGTGTGGGTTGTTTGAGGGCGATTCGACCGCGTCCTTTCAAATACGAGCGTTGGAGATTCTGTAGTATGGGTTGTTCCTTGAGGCGACGCCTGAGCTGTGCTCTTTCTATTTATTTCTTCTTGAAGTCTCCCTGCTGTTACTTGCGCTGGGGCGGGAGTCTTGTGTACAATGACATGCTGGGGATACGGTGACGCTACTGTTCTCAAGGAGGGTTCTTGTGATCCTGTGGCAGTTACCTTTGGTGTCCCTTGATGCTGCCTTGTACGAGACACGGTGCGTGGGTTTGGTTCCTGTGTGTTAGCAGTCAGGGTTACTTCTCCCGTCGTCTGCAATGTGCTGAATGAAGCAAAGGGGTCTCGCTGCTGTATGGTTGTTCCTTGTCTAATTTTTGTTAATTCTATGGGGTATGATGACGTATAATACTGCTTAGGTAAAGTAACACTGTGGCCTTGACTCTGTGTCACTGATGGCTTATGAGTCTTCTCTAAATGCGTTATTGGTTTTTCATCTGCCGTTACCGTGACTATTTTTGTCAACAGTGTGGAACCAGGCACTGTCTTGGTTGTTTCCGTTTTGTCCGGAGGTGTCCAAAGGGGAGTCTTATAGCCTAGCGTTGCTGTAGAAGCCGATTTTGGAAGAACTGATTCCTGTTGCTTTGCGCGAGTCGCGAGGAATATTTCTGTCGGAGACGCACCCCTCCTAGTCGTCGGCAAGGCCGCAGCTGAAGAGACCGTGCGTTGTGTGCTCTGAGCTCCCTGATGTGCGATTGAACCTTTCAAGACTGTGGTGTTATATTCCTCTGTCACTTCCCGCGAATTTGCCGTTGTAATTCTGGGACGGGGTCTGGTTTGGTAACGCCTGGTTGAATGGGTAGGTGATGCGTTCAGGAATCCTATATCCTCGGTATCTATGGTTTCGCTTGTAGTAATGGTCATCTTCACCCTATAGGCTGGTTTCTTCGTGGTGGGTGACGTCACTGTTGTAGCGGCAAGTAACAGCTTGGGTTTCGTTGTGATTTCGGATATGTTTATAGTGGGCCTAGGAGTCTGCGTTTCGCCATCATCGGTAACATAAATAGCGCCGGTTCTGAGTGTCGTTTCTGTTGGGCGTGCCGTTGTCCAGCGAGTTCGACCGGTACCGAAAACAGTGCGTTCCGTCTGAAGTGTCGGGTACAAAATTCCGTCCTGAAACGAGAATTTTTCCTCGGTTTCTAAACTGGGTGTCCTCCTATTAGGCGACTCCTGGTTCGAGCTTTCTGTCTTAGCGTCGTCACGCGTGACATCGGTAGCAGATGCAGTGGACTGCCTTGGGCGGAAGGTTTTTGCATGGCCTCCGCGCGCTGCATCCTGAGATTCGAGTGGCGTATTCTTCGACGACTGTGTTGCTGGCGTGGTAATATCGTACGTAGGAGCATATGTGTTATTTACGGGATATTCGAGTTGAGTGTCCTCAAATAGCTCGGGTTCGTCCGTTAGCGATGTTCGGCGCTGCAACGCGGTTGCGGTTCCAGGTTGCTGAGAAGCCGCCGTAAACATTCGTCTTTCTGGCAGGTCTTGAAAGCCCGATAGGTCGTACGGCGCTCCAGAGAATCCGTTGTTTTGTTGGAATATCTTTGGATCTCTGGTCGTAAGCTTGCGAATCGCTTCGTAAAGAGCTTGGTAGTAGCCTGCGACGGACTGGGACGAATCTTTTTCTTTGACGCTCTGGGAACCAGGTAACTTGTAAGAAGACAAGCGCTCGAAACCGTTGGCGTTGTCCGGTGACAGATAGTTCGAATTATCCGTCGTGTCCTCGTCGATGTTTGGCTTGATGTAGTTGGAGTAACTGCCGACCGTTTTCTGTAACTGGCTGTCGTCAAGAGCTGGGTAGTAGGATCGAGACTTGCGAATAAGTGTCATGTTCACTATGGTCGTTTGACCTTCCACGACTTCCATCGGAACTTCGAGGTCATTGTGTTCTGGGGACGAGGCCTGGAACAAATTAAATATGCAGATCCTTAAAGAGACCCTAACGAGGCAGAAATGCATGCCAATATTTTTATTGAAACACGACCCACAGGGGCTAAGAGTCAGGGAATGCTATTTGCGACTTGAAATACAAATGGCTTTTGTTTTACCAATAAAAAAAAAACGTTTGAGATCTAACAGCCAAGTGCTTCTCCCACGTTGTTTTTCTCAGTCATGTACAATGGCGACATCCAACTAAAACTATTTAAGGAAGCAACACGCCCTCAGTGGCACGTCTTAGCTAATAAAGAATAGCTAGAAGTGGGCGAACAGGGGTTAGAATCGAATAGTACTGTGCCATTTATAGCATTCACAGGTTTGTAAAAATCGACGACATACAACTTTGCTTTTCACTCTTGAAGCTAAGAATGACGCTTCGCATTTCGGTTCGAACCGCTATTTGCCCACCCCTAAAATATATAGTTTATGAAATGTTCCTTTATGACCACTGAAACACCAAAACGCGTTGATTTAATAAAACGTTGAAGACATATGTATGTCGATTATTCCTTGGGACTCCCAAAGTTTCTTCCACCAAAAGGCTAAATTTTACTTTTTGGTATCGATATGACTTCCTTCGACTCTATTAGAAAATGCGCGTCTCTGCCGCGAAAATATATTTGAGAGTTGCATAGACAAGGTATTATTCGTGCAAAATAATTTTTTTCCTAATGTAAGGACATTTTTAACAGCTGGTAATACGTAAATCAACCAATTTTTAAACTGAGTTCTTGAAAAAACAAACTATTCATAATCAAGCCATATAGTGCAACGTTGTCATACTGTAGTTATCATGCTATAGGAAGAACAATATAGCTTGGTAGACAATATGTTCCTTATAAACGGATGAATACGAGATGGACTGGTTTTCCTATGGTGGCTTCAGTGGATGCAATTAATTAGATGACTTGGATTTAATTGGAGGCAATTAAACATACGTTTCCCGACAAGGCAGACTTTACAAGTGTTGTGAGTTGCGAAAACTTCTGCTTGTAATAAAAGCCGACAAATGTACGCCGTTTCAAAATAATAAAAACCGAAAACGCCAAACCCTTGCTGTATTTTTAATGTCATATTTTGACGCTGTGCTGTTTTGACGCTGTGCTGTTTTGACGCCGTGCTGTTTTGGCACATGCTCTTCTGTCTCTGTGCCGTTTTGACGCTGTGCTGTTTTGTCGCGTGCCATTTTGACGCGTGCTGTTTTGTCGTCGTGCTGTTTTGACTCTGTGCTGTTTTGACGCGTGCTGTTTAGACCGTGCTGTTTTGTCGCGTGCTGTTTTGTCGTGTGCTGTTCTGTCATGGTGCCATGCTCGGGCTCGGGGTGCCGGTATTCAGTGGCCGGCTCTCGAAAGATAAAGGTGTGTTTTTCGTATCTGCCTCGTTGGTCCTTCCTGCGGGTGAGCAGTACGCACCAAATCCTACAAGGCGTATACTTTTAGTATCCTTGTTTATAGAAGTGTAATACTCCTTTCTTTTTTTCATAGCAACCGGAGACATGGGGCGATAAAAAACGGACGAAACAACCAGAAGTTTCAAAACTTGTTATTGTTTTGTCCGTTTTTTTTTTTTTTTATTGTTCCGTGTTACCGGTTACTATGGAAGTTCTTCACCAGCTCGCCTGTGTCTTTACCCTTTCTTCGATTATTTCTTTTCATTACTAAAAACCTAATGGAATGACTAGATACGACCAATTTTTTCCGGCATTTTCCGCTGTCCTATTGATCTTCTGCTGCGCATGCACAAGCTGAACTTCCCATGGAAGCTCGTTCGTACGCCCGCCGCTTAGCGCGTGGGATATTGCCATAAAACGTTAACAGTGGCAAGAGGATGGAGCGTCCAAACAACGCCTTGTCTTCCTCAGGACGCCCCACACCGCGATGTATACTCCTGCTCACCATAACAGTGCACCTCCGTGATGTAGTCATGCTTACCATAAGAGTATACCTCCGTGATGTACTTATGTGTACCATAAAAGTGTACCCCCGCAATGTACCTATGCTTACCATTAGTGTACCTCCACGATTTACTTATGCTTACCATAGAGTGCACCTCTGTAATGTACATATGCTTACTATAAGATTACCTCCGTAATGTACTCATGCTTACCATTAGTGTGCACTTCCATGATGTTCTCATGTTTACCATAAACGTGCACCTCCATGATATACTCCTGATTACTATAACAGTGTACCTCTGTCACGTGCTTATGCTTATCATAACATTACCTCCGTGATGTACTCATGCTTACCATCAGACTGTATTTCCGTGGCGAACTCAAACTTACCATAAGAGTGTACCTCCATTATGTACTCATGTCTACCACAAGAGTGTACTTCCGTGATGTACCTTTGCTTACCTAAAGACTGCCTTCGTGTTGTATTCATGCTCGCCATAAAACTGTACCTACGTGATGTGCTCATGCTTACCATGAGAGTGTACCTTCCCGGCAGCAGAATCCTCCAGTACTCTCCTCGATCACTGGTTCGGAACGGCATGTAGCGCCCCTTGATCATGAGGCGTGCGTTCTTCACCGGGTATCCCGCGTCATCCAGAATAATACCCCGAACACCTTAAAGCAAAAGGCAAACATAAATAAAAGGATGCGCTACGTCCATGACAACGCTAAAAAACTGTTCAAGAATGCTTTCAGTTGATGCCGCCTCTTTTTTTTTTCTTTTTTTCTACTGAGCTTTTCTTTTTCATAAAGACAGCAATAAGCGATGAAATCTCAAGGTGCAACTGACGTCCGGAAGGGGAGTTGCTTTGCCTCTTCTGACCCCTCGGCGACTCATATGAATCGTGGAGAACACAGGAAAAATAGCACGAATTTCTTTCCAGACACCAACCGTATCTCGCGAATACGCCGCTGCGTGAGGAGGGCATGCGAATGCTCAGAACTCTTCTTGAAAAATGTACATTCTTTGCGGAGAGCAAGTCGTCCGCTGCTTCCGGAGGAGTTTTGGTGACGTCAGACTGATGCCGAGCTCTGATCGGCTTTGATTGAAAGGATAGTGGGTAGACCTGAATGCTAGATGTCTCGAGGTCTTCCCACTACTCTGTTCGATCGGCCAGTAAGAGCTCGGCGTTCTGACATCCTCGCAACCCCTGCGCAAGAAGCAGACGAACTTGCGCTCCACATGCCGCGAATTCCGTATATCAGCAGGGCGTATTAAATATCGCAGTCGCTTCGTAACACTAGAATATGCCACTCGGGCATGAACCTACGGTTTGCACCCTGCGTAGGTTAAATTCTTTCCGATCGGCCAAAACAAAACCAACTTTCAGAGGGGTTACGTGCCATATATTTCTCCCGGCCTCATATTCATTGTCACGAAAGTAAGCATGCACAATCGCCGTCCTAATCTTCGTAACACATACTAACAGCCGCCATCCCCTGTAGGGCGCGCTGGCTTTTTCTTTTTTTTTTTCTTCCTTTTTTTACTAATTTACACGGTTGCAGCAAGTGTTGGACTGAATGAAACATTTCACTTTTCTACCTTTTTACAGTCTTGAGCCTTCGTCCCGTCAGAACCATACATGCAACTGCCTTTTATTAAACTCTTACCGCCACGCTAAGGTTTGTGTATTTCTGTACGTATAATTTGTCACGAAAATATCTATAAACTGCAAAAAAGTTGCCTAAAGCATTTGTAGGTTTTATAACCACCTGTTTGGTAGTAGACGTCTAGAAGATCGCCGGCCACATAATGAAAATGTGCTGTTGCACGCTGAGACATTTTAGAGCTTTGTGTTTTCTGTTCGTTTCTTTTTACTTCTAAAAAAGAGATGTACGAACAGTGCACTAGGCATACTTTTAGCTTTCTTTATGAACAAACTCCTTTATAGATATGAAGGCTCAAAAACTTATCGCAACATTGGGAGGTGGCAGAAAGGAAAAGAATCTGAAGTTCAGTGGGAGAAGGAGATTTCAGAAATTATTATTTTTGAAATCTCTCGAATTTTTATTCTTTCGTTCTTCTTTGTTACCCACTCCCTCCCGCGTCCACATTTGATAATTGTAATTCCGCTGCGTGCAGGTTTAGAAAACGGCAAGTTTGTCGGCTTCAATGGACACCTGGTGTCTCCGCTGCAAATTAGAAATTTTGCCAGAGCGGTATTACTGCAAGCCAAGAGTGTTCAACGTGCATCGCGCAGTAGTAACACACAGGCTCACGCCGGTGCGATGCTCATCTGGATTGAAACAGGCAAGTGTAGACATGGCCTCCTATATGCTGACAAAGCTTGGCAGATCGCCCCGAGAAGCGGCCGCCGAAATGGAAAAGGTGGAGCGGCAGACAACGGATGAGAGGAGAGCCACGTGACTGGCGCCGCGCTGCGGCGGGACGCCGAAACACACTTCTCCCGAGCGAACAAGTGGGCTTTGGGTCCTCGCCGCTGCAAAAGTTGCGCGCTGACGTCCAGGTCCCCCGGAAATTCCTCTTTGATGCTCTGTGCTACCAGATCCTCGCGCTCCAAATCTGCGACCGGGCACTCTATTGCTCCGTCGTCGTCGTCGAACTGCCAGGCTTTGTGAGTATAGAGGAGGGTATGGTGGGTTTTGCAGCGCGAGATTTTGTGCCACGTGCTCCGATGCTGTGGTGCTTTAACATATTCGGCCGACGATACTCCCGTTTCTATTCCTGAAGAGCCTCGACCGCGTACGTGTCCGCGTACATGAGAATAGCCATGCGGCTTGCGTTGAGAACAAAATCTAGTGTTCTAGTTTTTCAGAGTACTACAAGTTAGACAGGTTTGAGAATGTTTTCTCCTACCTCTATGTGATTCTTCGAGTAGCCTCAAGAGGGACTTGACATTGTCAAGCCAGAATCTGCGGAGCTGATAAGCCAAAGGGTACTTGCAGCATGACAGTTCTAGCGTGACTTCCATGCATCCGCCCTGAATATAAGTATAATCCGGCATGCTGCCTGAAAGAAAAGAGATGCAAGCCGTTGTAGCTTATAATATAAGGGATACCTACTGAAAACTCTTATATGTATAAGAAGTTTCTTCGTCCGATAAACGCTTATGATCAAATAAGATCATATGAGGGCATGTAAGAACCTTGTAAGGCCATATAAGAACAATATAAGATTATATACGAGAAGATAGGGACCTTCTTATCAGTTTCTTAGAACTTATATACTTTTTTTGTTCCTATGTGTTCTTATATGATCTTATTTGATCAGAGACATTTATTGAACCAAGAAATTTCTCACACAAATAAAGCTTCGCTAAAAATAGTAGTTATGGAAACAAAAACAAAAAACTTCAGTAGTGCAGATGTTACATACGCGCCAGACTCCTTCGAACCAAATAGATTTCTGGTTCCTTCCTCGCAAACATTTCAGATTCTGGAAAAATGTAGGTAGCCCGAGGCTGATTTTTTAACCATCGAAGTAAATAGCCAAGTAACTGTCCTATCTGCCATCAGTTTAACACCATAGCTTTACAAGCGTCCATCTGCACGAAAATAAATCCTATAGCTATACGTATATCTCGTTATGGTTACTTGAATTCAGCAGCGATCTTTAAAGCGTCGTAAAATTCTTAATGCCAGCAATAAAAGTTCACCTGGACACAGTAATAATTTTACTCAGGTATTTACTCATGTATTATTGCGCCCCCAAGGTTGGTAATAAACATAAGGTATGCTAAGTAAAATAATAAAAAAGTGTTGAAAAAACTTACCTTTGAACGGGTACCATTTCGCTCCGTTGACGATGCCATCCTGATATTGCTGTCTCTCACATGAGAATCTTCTCATCGTTGGGTGGTTCAAGGAATACGTCCTTGACAAGTGTTGGAAGACGTCATCATCCGGCGTCTTCGATGCTGATGTCCCTGCGCCCAACACTCTGTGACTTTACTCATGCGAGGAAACACTGTCGCTTCAACTCACGCAGGAATAGCTGGTGCACGAAATGTTACTGTGCACTAATGGAATATATGTTAGTAACGATCAATGGTGGTGCTTTGCTCCTGAACATGTTTTGCTTACATCAGAGAAATCTGTATTTGATCTCAGCTTTAAAGCTTATTGTAGCAGGAGTTTCTTAAAAGCTGAGCTTTATAAATACGCAACATAATGGTACAAGCCCCCTATAAAAAAGAAAAAAAACCAAGATTTCAATAATTCGGACCAAGAGTTTGCATTTCAGGACCCAATATTAGATTATTTGGTGCGTACTGAGAAAGCAGACAGAAGGCGACTATACTTCGTCTCATCCTACGATGGACTAAAGGCAAAAGCTACGGACTGCCAGATCTAATCACGAGTCACTTAGAAATTGCATGGTATTGCGCTTCGATGCGCCTATCGGTGCCCGCGTCTCGGATCACTGACGGGAATGGGCGGACAGTGGTTCGAATCGAATGGGACTAAGCGACTCATCAATTTTACATTGCAAAAAAGCCACGCCATACGAGCTCTTTGCACTTTCGAAGACATAAACATGATGCAGCGCTTTTTGATTCGGAGCATTATTTGTCCATCACTAATCAGTGTTAAGCATGTCGTAGTTTAGCGTCGAACGTAATTGGACCTGGCGGACCGTGGCTTTGGACTTTAGTCTATTGTAGGATGAGACAAAGTAAAGTGTTGTTTTGGACCTTTATATAAATTAAGCTAATTCTATCTCAGTTACACTTAAAATAATAAAAACTTGCATGAGCACTACCATTCTGAAACCTGTCCATGTCGAGCCACCGACAGGCTTGCCGATTTAATTTCAGGTGGTTGGCGATGAGCTGCAACGGGACGCACCTTTCGTTACTAGCAAAGTGGAAATTCTGGCCAGTTGGTTCATGTTCAGAATATAAAGCGCTAAAAACGACAGTACAAAGAGGAGAGTGAGGAAGACGAGACGCCTCGTCTTGTTTACTCTCCTCTTTGTCCTGTCGTTTTTGGCGCTTTATATTCTGAATTTCGTTATTACATATCAATAAAGCGAATAGGGTCCCCAGTACATAGGACTTGAGGACTAACGTAGAAGTTTGGGCTAGTTGGTATTTTATGACTAAAAATTAAGAATAGCGCAAAAACACGGACAAGAAGGAGAAAGTAAATGAATAAGGCGCTGACTTACAACTGAAGTTTATTCGTCATATCATCGAGTATAAATACTGCAATGTCAAAACAAACAAACCAAGAGAAAATACATGACATGGACGCTACGTGCTCCTTAACGCCTCAATGACCGCCTGCGAGAGTAAAAGTACAAACTTTTTAAGGTTATGTCAGGTCACCTTGACCGTCGTTGCCGAGACTTTCGTTGCACTCCCGTCTTCGACAAATGTGAGGTGATTAGAAAGAACAAAGATAAACTCACTCGAGAAATTATTGAAGCGCGGGAAATTGGGAGATTCGGGGATAACTGTGTCAGGAGTCCATCACTATCTCTGTCTGATAAAGAATGTTGGCTCTTAGACACAGACTAACAGCGCGTGACGGTGGCTTAAGGATCAGGTGGCGCCCATGTCATGCATTTGCTCTTGGTTGGTTTATTTTGACGTTGCATTTATACTCGATGTTAGCACGAATAAACTGCAGTTGTAAGTCAGCGCCTTGTTCGTTTGCCTCCTCGTTCTTGTCCGTGTCTTTGAGCTGTTTTCAATTTTTCGCCTGAGGACGCCAATACCCATGCAACTTTGAACAAACTGCGAAAGTTATCTGCAGCTAAATTAGGAATTTTACTATGCCCCACGTCACAATTTCCAAAGAATTTTTTTCGAAATTCAATTTTGTTTTAGGGACACTTGAGCAAGACGTTATGGGGTACAGCTACGACACATGTAACATTAACGAAACAGTCAAATATTATAATGCGAATTCTGTAAAATTGCAAAATTATGTTTAATATTACAGTTATGAATTAGCATTTATCCTATTGCAATAATTTCTTAATACCTCGTTCTTATGATAAAGAACGTAAACCTACGGGTAGCTTAAATTGAAACTACATGCATTGCTGAGTGATGCTGGAATGTTCATCCACTCGATTGCAATACCGAAACGCGCGAAACAAATATAGTATAGGATGGGGTTTAAAGATGGCGCCACCAGTTCGTTTGCCGCTAAGTCGAGACCTCTCCGACAAACTGAAATAGGCCGGCGCAAAGCTTCTCCGAAAGCAGATTGGATTCTTTAATTCCTGAACAGTGAACATTAAGTAACATAAATATATATTGGCTCCTTGACATGCAAATGTACACTAAAAACATTTCCGGGGGATTTTAAAAAATGCAACCAACATTGCCATGCCAGGCCTGACTATCTTTTTTAGTTTACTTCGAAATTATACACAGAATGAAAGCTACATGCGCAAGCTAACCTAGTATGTTATATTGTTTCAAATTTTTCTGTGGGTATGAAATTTCTAAGTCGTCCCCTCAGTCCTTAGCAATAAACATTCTATTATATGGTCAATAAATATAAAGTCCTCTCGCGATCGACGCGATATAACGCAGTCTATTCGCATTAAGGTATACAAAAGCATCTATCGAGTCTAAGGCAGCTTATGCGAAGCATTTGCTCCAACAACAAAATCGGCTGTATATATTATAAATGAGTGTCCACAGTCTACCTTTAACGTCAAGATTAAATACGAAAACTAAAAGGTACGAGTAAGCACTGTCAGAAAAACAGCATTCATTTCACAAGAGCCTGGTTATAAAAGCAGTTCAAAATACTATAGCCACCGACGGCAGGAAAACAGGCACAGTTTAACATTTAGTGGCATGATAGCCTTCGATGTACGTTGAATAAGTGAATAAGGAGTATTTGTACCGATAAATCAAACGATTTGTGCTTCGGGAGTCTGCACTTCATCAATCTCGCCGAGACCGATACACCTAAGTCGCTATAACAGCTCTTGCCAAGTTTTTTATGTGAGTACCTGCAATTTTTTGCATCGATTTTTTTTTTTATCTGAAAAGACAGCGTCCGCTATTAGGACTGTGACCAGAATTACAACAAAATATATCCGAGCACAGTGCTCTGCCCAGTTAGCACGAGCGAGACATTGGCGCTCTATGGCTCTGAACCCCTAACCTGTACTGCATTACTAATGTCCGGCAAGCGTACTTTATCGCAGGCCGATCATTTTTGTTTATGGTGTTTGGAACGGGTCTCCGACCGGTGTCTTTACCGCGCCCTCACGTGTGCTCCCTTGATTACCGCTTGATGATGTCATGGAAGTGGCATGCTGTTGCCTGCCAAGATCCTGGCGGTGGTACAACAGTGCAGGTAGATTCCGAGAGACGCCTGTTCTGCTGCAGGTCTCTCCAGCTCGACAGTCCACGGAAGCTTCTGCAGTCAGAAGCTGAGACGCAGCGATGACAGCGACACTCGCAATCATTCGTACTTTTTGAGGGAAGTTTTACAACCAACCGCCAGGATCGTGACATCCGACAACATCAAGACACGCCGGCTCCTGTGACATCATTTGTTGTCACTTTGGGACCGCTTTTCGATCAGTCTTGTGCCTATTTTAAGTATTTTACTGAAGATACTGTATTTCAAATACTTTTGATAGTTATTTTTTATCTTGCAAATTCATTTGAACGAAAGTATTTGCTACTTTATCTTAATTGCATTTCTCAGTATATTCTACTCATAATCTCAAATTAAAAAAAAAAAGAAAAACTTTTCGCGGAAATCCACCATTTTAGAAATAGCTGGCGCTACCTTTGAGAAAACGAAGTTCGAGAATTCCAGAAATAAAATAATGCGCGGATTAAAAAAAAGAAAAGGAAGAAACGTCTCAGAACGAACTTGGGGAGGAAAAGATAAGCCACATTAAAAACAAAAGAGACTTTGGGGGAGCCCGATCTATTAGCGGCGAGATGTTTTGGTGGCGCCCTCTTATGGTTCCCCCTTGTGACGTCATTACCTTGCGAACAACAAGTTCGATGGTGTTTGTAAATAGCATGGTGGAAGCCTGAAATCATTGCGCTCTCAAAGGAACACTGCCAACACCGTCGAAATTAAAGTTCTTTCATTCCTCTTATTTCCGTCGATGGTATACCCTTTCCGACGTCATAGTCAGCTTTTGGGCCAATCGTGGAACGCCGACCACAGCGACGCTTTCGGTCGCGCACGTCGCCAATACTTCGTATCCAGACGCAGCCGATGCCACAAGCGCAAGCATGTGGCCCTGTACAGGGATTGTACTGCGCGAGCGCGCCTACTTGGCTGGGACTCTGAAACACCGGAGCTCGCTCTTGTAGCTTCTGCTATTTTCACACTTAAACGGAGTATAGGTGAGTGTCGCTCACTACTACGCATTCGCTGGCGGCCATAGCTGTGTACGCGACTGCTGAGCGCGTGTTGGTGGCAAGCTTCCACAGGTCCTTTGGAACGTGCATTTCGCACCATCAAGATTGCCGGTCTTGGCAGACTACTAATGTGAGCTCGTTCTGAGTATGCGCTCTAAATACTGCCTTGAACTATGGCATCCGCAGGAAATCGAACTATAGGAGGCGCTTTATGGAGCTTGTTGTCCCCACAGCCCGGTGTTTACGAGCACAACATAACAAAGAAATTGAACCTCGCTTAGCACGGCCTGGGCACGAGTGCTTCGCTCTGACCATAGCCTTCTCTATACTGACAAAACCTGACAGATCGTCACGATACGCGGCCGCCGAAAGTGAAAAGGTAGAGCGGCAGACAAGAGTAATGTATCGGGCGCCCCGCTGCGGCGAGAAACAGAAACACATTTGTCCCGAGCGATGGAATGTCCGCTCGTGCTTCTCGCGTTCCTCGGGCTACCGCTTCTTTTCTCGTCGGGTTTGAAAACCATGTTTCGGGTCCTCGTCGCTGCAAAAACTGTGCGCTGAATACCGCACTCCCCAAGAAATGCTCTGTACTACCAGATCCTCGTGCTCCAAATCTGCGACCGGGCACTCTATGGCTCCGTCATCGAACTGCCAGGCTTTGTGAGCATAGAGGAGGCTATGCCCTGATAACACTGTACCCTGATCAATGGCACGAGGAGAGGCCTTCGAATCATCATCTTCTATTTCTCGGATCAAAAACAAACAATAAAATACGGCTTGTTGCCCCTACAGCTAAAGCGTACCGCTAGAGGCGTGACTGTTCGATCTCCTCCCCAATAGAGCCAGCAGGATATTGCTTACTTGGTCGAAGGTCTGCTCGAGCTTCATTGAGAACGTGTTCACGTATTTCTATACGAAAACCTCTTAAACTGGTGAGTTCCTGAAATGTCTTTTTACTAGATTACTAATCAGCACACCCTTTGCAAAGTTGAGCGATTGCAAACGTGAAGGGGCAGCGGCCTAACATACAACAGAGATAAAACCAGAAGTACAGATGCATGCTCACAACACCAACAAAAAGCAAATAGAGCGAAGTGAAGAAAGACCACAAAAAAACGCAGTGTTTTTTGCTTTTTTTTTTTACCCCGCTACGGCAGGAATGTCAGTTTCTTTCTTTAGAAAGGTGGTCAATTAGGACAAAGATCTTTAACGATGTTTGTTCATTTCCCTTTGTCGGTCTGGTCAAAGCCTCCTATGGCCTTATCCTCATAGGCTACGGTCTGGCACTTTTGGGAATACCGTGGGGGCAGCAGTGATAGTCCCGCCCTTTCATGAAGACAGAGATTATAACAGTGAGGCAGGAAACAAGATAGGAAAATGCAAATAAATAGCTCTCCCAAAGTTGTAGACGTTACTCAACGCGCTACTTTGTATAAAAAGAATGGACAATTACGAAAAAGATAGAAATGTTTCTTCGTGTCCCCTTGTGCCTTTCTTTTTAAAGTTCAGTGATTACCGAATGCAGCGTTTGAGTAACTTACTCGCGTATTTGTTTAACGTGAACTCCGAAGATATACCGACTTCGGCGCTTAGTAAAACATCTCTTGCAAGGTGCGCATAACAGAACCACCACAAAATGGGATTATCTCTCTTTCTTTTTTTGTGACATTCACTTGTTTGATACTAATAATTGTACTAGAACTGCATGGGAGAGTATTGCGATTTTGTTTTCTTTGTATCTGTTTGCTTGTAAATATAGCATTCTGGGGTCAATGAGAAGATATTACGCAACGAAGAAGTTTCTTCAAAAGTAATCAAATTAGACTAAAAAGTACCTGTACTCTATTCGAAATATTTTTCAGAGAAAGTAACTTGAGTAATACTTTAGATACTTTTTGATGCTGGTAATTAGTACCCTATCTTAAATACGTTTGTGGGGTATCCTGCTTAACTCTGCCTTGGATGCATGAGCGGTTTGGGACGCTGCACACCATTCGAAGACGCGATCCGGGCACCGCAGTTTTGTTGGACTTCGTGTAAGCGTGTGAAAACAACCGACAACGTTTGGCTCTCGCGCGCACTGTGTCTCGGAAGAGGTCGTGCTTCAGCATACCTTGGCCGTATGCCGCGTCGTAAGGATAGCGAACGAGCATCGCCCCTCCGTGCAAGTTTCCGGAGAGCACAAACGGAATGCTGTCTATCCATTTGCGAACCGCCTGCGTCTCCGGCTCCAGGTAGTGGTTGTCCTGCAGGCTCAAGTCAGGAAAGTTGCGGTTCAAGTCCACTCCGGCGCTGTTGTACCTACGTTAGAAATCAAAACTACGTTGGGCATTCATGTGGTTTATGAAGGGTGTAGTACTTTTTCGTTATCTCTTCATTTAGTATACCGTAATTCATTATTTATAGTGCCTATTCCATTCTCAGATATTGACGGTTGTTCAAAATGCCTCGCCTGCTTGTTCAGCACCGCTGAATATTTTATTTGTTAGAGCATGTCAGTTAGGTTTCAAAAGCAAAACTAGCATCGCGCAACGATGAGTCTTAACATGGCCATACATTTTGAGACGTGCTCCTTCTCTTCTCTTGGTGTACATTTTCGTATATCCTTAGTCTCCAGTTGCTTCAAAATGTTTAGTATGCACCAGCTCACTTGCTCTCTTACGTTATGTTCGTTGATAGTCTAAACATATTGATTTGATTAAAATTGCAATACAGTTCTTACGAAGAAGCTTGGGTTGTTGGTACTTTAAAAAACGAATCGGTAAAAAGCGTTAGGAAGCGGACAACAACTATACACGAAGAAAATTGTATTGATAAAAACACTTTTTATTAAATCCAGAATACTTACTGGCAGGATTCAGGGTGCTATTAAAACATAAAGGTTCTTTTTGTAAACGTAACATCGTTGAAGGTGCCATATATTATCTAAAACCCAACAAATGCAACAAACATATCTACTAATTTTACAATGGGATCAACCTATCCAACAGTGGGTCAATATTAACGAAAAATTGGTTATAAAACTTTTGAACGACATTATTTGTGTTTTCTCAATGTCTCAAACTATCGGACATGATCCCATGGTAGATATTATTCCTGGCAGATCTTACTTCTAATCAGACTTTATTTCTCAATAAAACGTTTGTTTTGCGTAGTAGGAGGCAACAGCGTAAAAGGACGAGAACACAACAGGGAGGCACACAACGAATATAAACAAAAAAGGCTGATTTACAACTCTGGAACTGTCGTTTTTTACTCCTTCGCCACGACGAATATACCAGAGATGTAAGTAACCGTTCATTGTCGTTCTTGTTTGTGTGTCTCCTTGTCGTGCCCGACTATGAATTACCAACTCGCCCAAGCATCCATCGTAACAAGCTTTATTTGGCGTTATTCTCTGCCCCCCCCCCCCTCACAATACGCATAAAGCCCTTAGCGAAAACTAGGACGTTTGAAATATACTACATTCTAATTTGAGTGTATTTGAAGTACAGTTCATAATTGAAGTACATAAAAAATAGACCGAATATATACACTTCTTTTTTTTTTTTACTTTGCTCTAAAATATATTTTTGAAAGTCTTTTAAAATACTTTTATTTAAACTACATTGGAAGTTCTCTTTACGCATTCTGAAATATCTAAATACTAAATTAGTAGGCACAAAATACCTTTCACATGGATTTCTTAAAATATTAATTTATTTCATGCAAAATATGTTCCAACCCTAATAAAAATGCAGCGATCAAAAATATGTGCGGAATACTTTTAAAATATCTGGAAATCGTAAATACTGTTGCGTTATACTCTAAGTATCTTTTGACTGCAATACTTTGGTAGTTTGAATTAAACTACCAAAGTATTCAAAAGCTTGCCTATCAGAGGTTCACTTCAAGCAGATGTGGAGGACACTGAAGTGCCTAAATGCAACATCTGATTAGTTTGTCAATTGAGTGGTGCAGCGTCGCACTAATAAATCAGCCCAGTTTATGTTATTGTTTCCTTTTTTCTACCAAGAACACACCTGATGAGTTCCTTGCACGCCAGTCACAAACGGGGTTCGGGAACTACAACCACAAGACTTGCTGATGCTAAAAAGCTTCAGCAAGTGCTATGAGCAGATATGTTTGGCGTGGTTGTGTTAGCACAATGTTAGTTCACTGAATGTGTATACTCACCATTGTACGTGATGTGAGTAGCGACTTTAATATAGTGACATTAATGATCATATTACATTTTCAACTAGTAAAGAAAAGTAGCTATTTTAAAGGGAAGAAACTGCCTTGACTCGCTTCGTCCTGAGTGGTGCTGTGCAGAGAAGCAATAACATTTCTTCTAGGAGCCGTTTTTGTGGATATTGTTTTATCAACTGCGCCAAATTATTATTTGTTGCACCAATGGTCTTTAGAAGAAATATCGTCCGCGAACTTCAAAACACTGTTTCCCCTTTGACAAACTCCCGAGGAAAAGATCGAATACTTGGAATCTTAATAAGTGCAGAGGTGGTCACCGACCAAAAGATTATCTTAGATATGTAGGCTATGTAAGGCTCTAGAACAGTCAACGGGTCTTTGATTCAGGTGTTCAGTGCGTCATTGTGTTTGTGTTTGTGTTCGTTTATAATGTGTAGTTGTGGGATGTATTTAGTATAGTAAACTAACGAAATCCAAAATATAAAAACAAATTGTGTAGCCGGTTTTTAATACACAAATGGCATCTTGAGGGGAAGGAATTATATTTCTGGTATATCTAAACTTTTTTCTGATTAATATTTGTGATATATTTTGAATACCTTACGCGCGTATTTCGAATGTGGACAAAATAATACAGAATGAATACCAAATTAATATTCATATTCAATGTATTTCAACTTCGTTTCAAGTACGACCTCTTTTTGCTACGGGAGTGTATAGCAGTATTTAGGTCTCTACGTGCTATTTGTAAAAGCAGACGTTCTGGCAATATTGGTCAGATATGAGCGTACCTTCCCCGCAGTCCCACGCACTGTCCTTCTCTGGAGATGGACATGCCGTCTGGGTTCATGCTGGGCATGATATGGATATTGGTGTTATCCAGGAGCCAGTTGATCCTAGGGTCCGTGTCGTAGCCGTTGATGAGGTGGGCTATCAAGTGCAGCATGAGCTCTTTGCCGACCATCTTGAAGAGTACGAATGGGCAAGAATCCAGAGGTCAACGCAATATTGTTTGAATGGCTTATGGAAGCTCGAGAACCTTGCACGCTGACTTGTATTAACCGTTCTAAGTTAGTGGTGAAGACTGCTGTATAAAAGAGTACGCTATTTTGGGCAGCTGATCGCTTCTGCAGAAACATGCACAAAGCCAAGGCTGGAATTACCCTTTGCAAAAATTGCACGTGAATTATCCTTCGCAGAAACTACACGTGAATTACCCTTTGCATTGATTACGCGCGAACTTGTGTCATCTTTCCAATTTATTTTAATTAGAATAGTGATTCTGCAATTCATGAACTTGCTTCATAAACTGGTGCAAGTTTTCCCTGGCCTGACAGGACTACGAGCACGCGAAGGAATTTCCTGTTCCTGCTTGTTGCAACACAGAACTAAAACAACAACCTTTCCTTCGCCTATAATTTTCTCTTCTTCAGCATATATATATTTTTTAACTTGGTTTCACATTTTCCAAATCTGTTTTACTGTCCTCAGATTCCTCCATGCCTGATTTCTCGTGTTAAATTTTTTGTCACTAGATCATATATTATGTTCAACATACCACCATTCCTGATGGCTTGTTTCAGTCATCTCTCCTTGATTTCTTTTTTTTTTATGAAACCTATTACCTTGATTACATTTTTTTAAAGATGGTTATGTCACCCTGCGGCTCATACAAAAAGCTTAAACCATAAACAAAGGTGTAATATTGTAAAGATAAATCTATTTGTTATTTATATAATTTCAGATTGTATTAGTGCCCGCTGCAGTAGTTAATGGTTCCATAATAAATACTTAATGTCGGAGACGTTACATGCGTAGTGCTAATAAAAAATGCCCGTTGCGGTAACACAAATGCAGAAAGATAAGCGTAAAAACAGCTTACCTCGTTACCGTGCATGTTTGCTACGTACTTCATAGAAGGCTTCATGAGCTTGTTATTGCTTGATTGTGAAGACAGCAGTATTACCCACAAGTCACGACCTGTCCGTTCAAGATAAAAAAAAATAATAATCAAAAGCATTACACAAAACAACCACTTGCACCTTCAATCTCTTTAAAGCGTGCGGCTCTATAATCAGCATTTTAACTGCTTCAATGCATTTATTTAACTTAGTTGGTTATCAAAATAGGATTATTGTTATGACAAAATTCTATATATGTTTCAGCCAAATAGACTTTTGAGTTGCTAATTCGGCGTGTGAAGCTTGTCCAAGGCATGATTAAGGTAAGCACCACGTAGTAACAGTACACTATAAGCACTATACGTTGGTGACAGGACGCCGCAAATGTATCGTAGAACAATCCGGGTGTTTATATCTGTCCTTCGTATGGATCTCACAATTTCTGTAGTCTGAAAAAAATTTAAATTAAAATTTTCCAGAATTTTGTTTTGTTTTGCTCCGCTGTTTGCCCAGAATTGTTTTTGTTGTTTCGTTTTTTTTTTTTATTTTGCTGTGAATATTTACTTTTACGTTCGACACCGAAAAATGAAGGCGTATAAATACTGTAGCTTGAAAACCACTATGCAACAAAAAACGGTTTATAAACCTGCTGTTTTTCTTTTTTTATTTCTTGGAATGAAGGTTTAAACATACATGCGAGAAACCATATAAAAATTAAAAATAAACAAAAATTGAAACATGGAAAAATAAAGTTCTATGATATTTAAAGGAAACAAAATACACGGGTATTTGTGGTACAAAAATTGGGAATATGCTTTTAGCAAGGCTGCATATACGAGGCGCGATGAAAAGGTTCTAGAGATGAGGCGCGCAGCTGTCGAAGGCAGGGGCCTGCGTGCCCACAGGGCGTCCTTCCGCGTATTTTTGGAGCTGCGCTACACAAGTTTTTGTAACCACGTGCACAATCAAATCTGCAATTTCAGCAAACTTTGTAAGCCACATCCAAGAACGGGCATCAATTCTGTGTCAAACTCGGCAAGTCTGGAACCGTGACCTTTGAAATGATTTGACAGGCTTATGGCAAAAAAGGAGTGAGTCGTGCGAGGTGTTTTGAGTGGCACTCGCGTTTCAAGAATGGCAGACCATCACTGGAGGACCAAGAAAGGTCGTAAAAGGTCGCCATACCTCTATTTGTCTGCCGTTAAAGTTCTGCCAATCTTGAAGTGGGACTGCCACTTGAAATACCTTGCACGACTCACTTCTTTATTGCTAGAATTCTGCATTTTCGCACATCATGTTTCGGTCTTGATGCTGTGGCACTGAACGCTTCTGAAAGAAAAATATAGTTGAACGTCTGCTACGACGTCTTCAAGGGTGTTTTCAAAAAAAAAAAAAATAGGTTCCCTTTTGGCACCCGCCTCGAAAAGAAAAAAAAAATAATAACGAAACGCTTTTTAAAGTGTTAGCCATCGCTACGGTCTCCATCTGCGTTCCGTCCTCTAGTTGAAACATGGTTTCGCGTTTCAACCAGCGAAAGTGCTAAGGCGAGCAGGTTAACAAAGATCACAATCTTAACACTGAGACTAGGAAGAATAAAATAGCCTAACTGAGACAGTGTGTTGTGTTGTTTGTTATTCATTCCTCATAGTTTCAGGGTTTACATTATGACGTGGTTAGAAATTTTGTAACCTATCAAGCCCCGTAATACACGAGTCTCTTATACCCAAATATACGTACACATAAAGGCAATAAACGAAAATTATTTGTTGTTAATTTTCCAGCAAAATGTATACGCCAGAGTCACGCGTGTTGCATCACTTGGCATCAAAGCGGGGTACGGGGGAATCCCAGACTGCTTTTACACATGTTTCTCAAAATCCCTAGACATACAAACACACTACGCATTATGGTCACCGATAGTTTAAGAAATGAAGGGCGTAAAGAGACCCGAGCACCTTATAATTCCTCCAAAGCCAATGACATTGCGCCATTAGTTTTGTGAAGACGCCAAAAAAACTAATCACAAGAAAAAAAAAAAGTCAACATAGTAGGCCGCGTTCTGCGTTCCTTAAGCCGTCAATGACCATAGTTCGGTCTCGTAACAGGGGGATCTTAGGATATTTTCTGGAGCGTGTTTTGGAGTGGATGATGATGATAATAACTTTATTTTAAAGCAGACAGGAACGCCACGCCCCCACTCCAAGGTGCCGTTTACGTGACTGCAAGAGCTATTACAACTAAGCTACGGGTCTTGATATGTGGCTATAGCAACAATAGCCAAGGTTGTCGCGCTTTGTGAACAATACTTTTTCTAGTATTCGACGGAGAAACAGAAAATGGCAGTAGGCTGACTATCGGTAGATGTCGGTTGGTCATTGGAGAATTATTCTTCACGCCCTGAAGTTTAAAAAAGATTAAGTCGATACTTTTTTCCCCTCAGCTATTACATACGGATGTTGTATTTTGCTTACTGTAGGTTTACGCAGCACGTTACGGAACGAAAGAAAGAAACTCGCCCTGTCCAGATTTCCCGAGGGAGTATAGCGTAGCTAGGTCCGGCCGATGTCTCGTGGCATTGATGAGGACCGCCGTCATGGTGTCGTAGTCGTGGTACTTGAAGGCCACCCCGAACGCGTCCCGGTATCCCTTCACATGCAGGACACACAGCGCTAGGGCCACGGCCCCGCACAGCGCCAGACTACCACCGAGGCACGCCATGACTCGGCAAGAAGGCGCAGCCCACGACGTCGGTGGGAGCCTACGTCCGCTCAAGACTCCTTATCCAGGGAACATCGCTGCATAGACCTGGCGAACAGTTGGATCCTTTCCTGCATAATCACACACACAAAAAAAAAAAACAAAAAAAAGCATTTGGATTAAGTGGGTGGAAAGAGAAATTCATATCTCGCTGTTTTATATATACTACTTGCGTCTAGAAGCGCGAGATAAAGTGGTGCCACGGAGATGAAACCTCTTGATTTTTGTGTCTGAACGGCGCCAACGAGGTCATCTGTACTATATGCTCCTTTTCACCTTGCGATGGACCGTGGAGGACACTGAGAGCCATCCCGGCCAATCCAACGTTCTAGACGTATCACGCGAGCAGTCATGGGCGGTGTCATGTGACACGTTTACAGCGTTAAACTGGCTGTGATCACTTGTGTAGTGTACGTTGCGGTCTATCGTAGGATAAAACACAGTATGGCGACATGTGCTCGGGCCTGCCGTGCGAAGCAAGCAACGGTTGGAAAGCGAGATGGCTGAGGGATATATGAAGATATAATCACGCATTCCTGCGTTTGCCTTCATATCTCTCCGAGACAGGTAGTAGTGCTGTTTGGAGGGAACACTAAATTTTTCCTCGATCTTCTTTGCACCGAGGAGTCCCAGATAGATCACTGAAGATATCGGATTATCAGGATTATACGAGAGTTGCGCGTTCAGTAGCGTGCGTACTCTCCAGCGTGCCGCCTGAAGACGTGCATAGTAAAAGGCGACATCCATGAGCCTCTCGAAAACAAATGGTTAGGTAGGGGAGAAATGGAGGAATGCCGAAGAAAATAGAGCAAACAAGTTACAGCCAAAGAAGAGCGGTGAGACGAAATTCCCAAGAATACACCAGCTCGTTTATTCGACATGCTTAAACAATTTCAATCACTTCACGTTTCTCATAAAGCTATGCAGAACTACGTGACCTACTACGGCCTCTTGCAACGCAAGCAATGCAGAATAATATCGGTCTCTATACTTCCAGACAGAAATCGCTTCATTACGCCACTCAGAGTATAAACGCGCTATCTCTCTGAGGCCATGGAAAGAGAGTAGAACTCGTTAAGTTTGTATTTTCACGATGGCCGCCGACAAAAACAAAGCGTCGCTCAATGCACAATGCACCTCGGCAAATTGGGCCATAGCGGAGATTTGTTCTTTTTTCATGAGGTGTTTGTGTTTAGTTCCTGTGTAGTGTAAACGAAAACCCCTTTTTTTTTCTTTGTTTACCCTCGTCCTCAGTCACGTAATTTGCATATCCGCAACTCTTTTTTTCTTTTTTTGCCATGTAACGATTTACCGCCAACCCCTTGGGCTAGTCATTAGCCCACTGAGGCGACCTCTGCTTTCGCAGCTAATTTTTTCTTAGCCTGCCCTTCCGACAGGAAAACGACAACAACAACAAAATATGGGATTCGCTCACGCACACGCACGATATATGAACTTAAATGAAGCCACGCACTTCCATAGGCCATGATTTCATGAATCTGTGAACACAAGTCGCATGAGACTTTTTATTCAGTACGCGCACAAACACAGCGTAGCCGCTGCGAATGTTGTTGCTTTCGTGCCACGCGAAATTCGTCGCAAGCAATTGCGCTGTGGCTTTCAATTCGTTCCAGCGGTTGCTTCCAGCGAGCAATCCGTCCTTAGACACTCTCACGACTGAACCCCCCCCCCCCCCCCCCCCCCGCCTTTTAGCTTATATGTTTCGGCCGTAAACGCCAGTAGCACATCAACAACCTAAGTGCCGGCCTTTCCGCTCAGCGGTCCTGTTGACCTTATAAACACGTCCCTTCCCCTTCGGATCCTTTCGCCTCGGCTTCGCGCAGCAGTCGTGTCACGTTTCCGGGAGAGGGGTCGCGCCGATTCGGAAAGCCGCCGTTTAATCTCCTTATCCTCGTTTCAGCAAAAAAAAAAAGAACAGCGCGCAGCGAGAGAGCAATGCGACCGCCGGCACGGGTGCACTGCAGCGTCACGCATCATACCTCTCCGTGGGGAGCATCGCGGCGAAGATCTCGTTCGCTTCGGTCTTAAGTTAAAGGGCGGGCGTGTCAAGGAACAATGCGCGTGCACTCCGAGAACGTCCTTATACTCGAGTCGTGGCGGAGAAAAACGTCCTTGCCGCACTTGCTGCGCTGAGCGACGCCCAGTCTGGGACTTAATAAAAGAGGCTGGTTTATCAACACGAAAGTTCTGGTTCGAGCAATCGCCGTCTCTCTGCCTTTTCCCCTGCCGGGAGCAACTCATACGGTATGCGGGTCCACCATCCGCCGGCGGAATTCGCCGACTCAACGCGCGAAACCCGCGAAAGTTGCGTGTGCGCGCGAGGTGACGCGTCTTTCCTAGCTCAAGTCTTCGCCCCGGCAGATCCTGGAAGACAGAGCACCCTTGTAAGCTCTTTCACCGACACGCTTCTTTAGCCGGTGACAGCTGGCGTGGCGAGTCCCCTGCGGCTCATTGTCCCTCCGCAAGCAACCAATGAAATTGCAAGAACTCAATAGAGAGAGACTATGAACCTTTCCAGGCGCTCATCAGCAAGGCGAAAAGTGCTGAGTCACTTCTTCATAGACGTATATGCACAGTGTCTGGTGTTCCGCAGAATAGAGGTACTGCGCACGCTCGACACACGTTCCACGGCCGTCACCCAAAGATGCCAGCGCAAAGAAATCAATTATTGGAACAGCATGTAGACACTCATAGCTTAAAAAAAAAATGTGCTTAACGATTCTTCGTGATTTGTTCTTCAGCGTTCGTATCGGTTACCGCCACAATCCCAATGGCCGAGGAGAAATATGATATTAATGCGAAGTTGCAGGCGAGCTTGACAGAATAAACGATAATAATTCCTGCAGAAAGGGGAACAAGAGGGACAAGGGACAAACAGAAATCTCCAAACACAGCTTCGTAACTGGTGCGCGCTGAAAAAATCAGCCTGGTCCTGGTATCGAACCAGAAACCTATCAATTTCCAGTGAAGCGCTCTACCAACTGAGTTAACCAGGAGTTAGACGTCGGTAGAGCAAAAGGATTTGCAAAGCTGCCACCAGTTTAACACCAAGAAGGGTGAACGGTCTGCATCTTTAAGGTTATGATATGAATGCAAAGGTACAGGCGTTCACCCTTGTTGGTGTTAGACTGGTGGCAGCTGATAAAACCCGTTTTCTCTTCTGACGTCTAAGTCCTGGTTAGCTCAGTTGGTAGAGCGCTCCACTGGAATTGTAGAAGTCCCTGGTTCGATATCAGGACCAGGTGGATTTTTTCAGCGCGCACCAGTTACCTAGCTGTATTTTGGAGATTTGTATTTGTTCTTTGTCCCTCTTGTTCCCCTTTTTCGGGGATTATTATCGATATATATGAAGAAGCCACGGACACGCCACGTCCCGCGTCTCTTAAGCTGGCGCTAACTATGCGCCGAGAAAGTGAGGGAGAGGAGGAGGCGGGAGCGCGAGGGCAAGTCAGAACGCCGCGAGCTTTGGTTGGAAGGATTAGAGGATACACCTAAAGCTAGCTGCCGTCGTCTCCACTGCAGTCGTCAAACCCGTTCCAGTACGAAAGCCAAACGCCGGACATCGGCGTTCCGTATTCTTCTAACACATTCGACATGTGCAGTGACGGCGAAGGCTGCTAGCTTCAGGTCTACCCACTAATCGTACCAACCAGAGCTCGGCGCTCTCGCCCCCTCCTCTCCCTCACTTTCTCGCCGCATGGACTCATTGTCGTCGTCGGCAAGCACCATGCCCCGTTTCTGTTGTGCGCATGTGTGTGTGTCTGGAAAATTATTATTCGAAAGTGAGCGAACGAGGGAGGCTGCAAACGCATCTCTTCGGATCTTCAAGGCTCATTAATCTGCGTGGCGGCCGTGAGCGTGGCTTAGCTCGGTCGTCGCTTATGCGTGATCGCCCACTGTGCGTTTAACCTGGTTACGTTCTGCTAGCGTGGGATCTTCGTGAGAAGTGCCCGTCAGGAGGATAATCAAAGGATTTTTATCTCGTGGGCTACGGAAGACCTCAGACAGGTGAACGGTTAATACGGTTGAGTGTTTACGCCCATTCTCACTTCAAGCCTCCCACTACGCTTTGTCTGCCCTTTGCGTTTGATTTTTTAGATTCTGAAAAATCTAGGGCTGAAACGCGGTTATCTTTGGGTGCCGATACGCGCTGAAATATTTCTCTCACTTATGGTTTGGGCGGGCACACGTAGTAATGACGCTCAATATACAGGATGTTTAAATTAAATTCTTACATATATATATATATATATAGAGAGAGAGAGAGAGAGTGAGAGATAAAGCTGTGCGCGTTAGACGAGTGCCGTTTTTACTCTATTTATTAGGCTCCGCGGACGTTAGATGACGGAATAATCGTCATTGTAAGTTTGGTAATAAACCAAAATTCGTTAAGTAAAATTTTTTTTGTTTTGTTTTAGGGGTCATACTGTAGTTGGAGTAGTGACAACAATTCCTATTAGTGGCCAGACCAATGTTTTTCATTTAAAAATGTAATAGTACGAAATGAGCGTGTTTGTAACAATATCCACCAGGATGTCATTGTTTTCCGTCCCCTTCTTTGTGTTACCTTTCTTATGGTGGATGTAACAGTTTTTTTTTTGTTTTTTTTTTAGATGTGAATGGTAATGGGTCTATTTGCAGGTTTTTTAGTCTGATTTAAAAACTGCGTGACCGAGCCCTGCCCACAATGATGCTTAGGAGAGTGACGCGTTGTCGTCTAAATTATGTCGTCAATATCGAGCAGCGTGCACTTGGTCGGTGCCCCGACCACACAAGTAACGACGTGACTAGAACGACTACGGCTAAATTCCAAATCTTAGAGCAAATTAAGTGACCTGCCTCCTACATCACCGGGTAATACCACGTGACATCGCGAGTAAACGATCCGTGGCTCGATTTCGGAACTGCCGGGATAAGCCGCGATAATCACCTGGACACTA